TTTTGAGATGAAGTCTTGCTCTGTTGCCCAGGCTGGAGTGCAATGGCACTATCCCAGCTCACTGAAACCTCCACCTCCTGGGTTCAAATGATTCTCCTGTCTCAACTTCCCAAGTAGCTAGGATTACAGGTGTATACCACCATGCCTGGCTAATTTTTTCTATTTTTAGTAGAGATGGGGTTTCACCATGTTGGCCAGGCTGGTCTTGAACTTCAGATCTCAAGTGATCTACCCACCTTGGCCTCCCAAAGTGCTGGGATTACAGGTGTGAGCCACCATGCTTGGCCCTGGCCTATTTTTATCTTTCAGTTTTTCCATGAACTTTTTGAAGTTCCCTCGTATTTGCTGCCTGATTTTCTAAACTAGAACTCATTTGTATTATACTGTTATTTCCACTACTTATGTAAATTTAAAATTTTTATTCTCTTTGTGGATTCCCTACTTACAATTTTATCTGCAAGTAGGTGGAAGGATGCTAGAGTGGAATGGGGAGAGTGAATCTTCAAAATTTTTTTAAGAATCTTCAACTGAAAGCCCTAATAGAAAGCCTGAGACAGTTGTCTGCTCTCTGAATAATGTGGAAATAGAGAGCTAGAAACTGGGTCTTTCCTCTTTCTCCCACACCTTGTTCTGTTTAGGAGACTGCTGCTGCCACAGCAACCAAACCCCAATACTAAGGATGCTAGCTCCTGTCTCCCCCAGACTAGTTTGCTCCACTATCTGGCACCACACCTAACTTACCACCAGTAAGCCTGCTAATATTCATAATGTATTTCTTCCTCCGGGCGCGGTGGCCTGTAATCTCATGCTTGTAATCTCAGCACTTTGGGAGGCCGAGGTGGGTGGATCACCTGAGGTCAGAAGTTCAAGACCAGTCTGGCCAACATGCTGAAACACCATCTCTACTAAAAATACAAAAATTAGCCAGGTGTGATGGCACATGCCTGTAATCCCAGCTACTCAGGAGGCTGAGGCACAAGAATCGCTTGAACCCAGGAGGCAGAGGTTGCAGTGAGCCGAGATTGCACCACTACACTCCAGCCTGGGCAACAACAGCGAAACTCTGTCTCAATAATAATAATAATAATAATAACAACAACAACAACAACAATAATAAAAGTCCTTCCATCCAGACTGCTGCTCTGTCGCCCAGGCTGGAGTGCAGTAGCGCAATCGCAGCTCACTGCAACCTCCACCTAATGGGTTCAAGTGATTCTCCTGCCTCAGCCTCCAAAGTAGCTAGGACTAAAGGCACATGCCACCACGCCCAGCTAATTTTTTGCATTTTTAGTAGAGACAGGGTTTCACTGTGTTAGTCAGGATGATTGTGATCTCCTGACCTCGTGATCCACCTTCCTCCGCCTCCCAAAGTGCTGAGATTCAGGCCTGAGCCACCATGCCTGGCTCTTTGTTTCTTTTCTACCTAATCATTGATAGGACTTCAGTCTCCTTAGGCTTAACTCAATTCCTTTCAACTTTACTTTGCCACTTCTCAACTTCCAGTTATTATTTTTACGGCATAGTTTTAGTCAACTGCATGACCATGTGCTGATCTTCTACTATGTGCAAGTAATTAAACATTATGGTATTAGTTTACATTAAAACTTATTGGTATCTGGGAATATATTTAAGTATAATTCTTTCTGATAAAAGAGTTATTGGAACATAGCCATACTTATCTACTAAATTAGCACCTGTTACACTACTTTTTATTATAAGTGCAAGCATAGCACATTTTATGGTGCTCCATTTTATTGTGCATCCAATTAAATTTAATCCAGTGTTTTCTATGCTGGAGTACAGTGGCACGATCTCAGCTCACTGCAACCTCTGCCTCCTGGGTTCAACCAATTCTCCTGCCTCAGCCTCTCCAGTAGCTGGGATTACAGGCATCTGCCACTACGCCTGGCTAATTTTTGTAGTTTTAGTAGATGGAGTTTCACCATGTTGGCCAGGCTAGTTTTGAGCTCCTGACCTCAAGGGATCCACCTGCCTTGGCCTCCCAAAGTCCTGGGATTATAGCTGTGAGCCACCACACCTAGCCTATCAGAGCCATTTTTCTAATAACATGCATTTACTCTGTGTATCTGTGTCACAGTCTAGTGATCCTCTCAATATTTCAAACTTTTTCATTATTGTTACATCTGTTATTGTGATCTGCAATTAGTGATCTTATACTTGTGGTGGAAATGGCAAAAGAACAAAAAGGAGAAGTAGAGCTTGATGATGTGATTGAATTGCTGCAATCTCTTAACAAAAGGTGAATGGATGACGTGTTGCTTCTTATGGATGAACAAACAGTGGTTACTTAAGAGGGAATCTCCTCCTGGTGAAGATGCTATGAACATTGTTGAAATGGTAACAAAAGATTTAGATATTCCATAACCTTAGTTGATAAGGCTGTGGCAGTGTTTAAGAGGATTGACTTCAACTTTGAAAGAAGTTCTACTCAGGAAAAAATGCTATCAAAAGCACTGCATGCTACACAGAAGTCTTTCATGAAAGGAAGAGTCAATCGACGTGGCAAACTTCATTGTGGTCTTCCTTAAGAAGTTGTCATAGGCACCCCAACCTTCTGTAACTACCACCCCAATCAATCAATAGCTGTTGAAATTAGACAAGATCCCCCATCAGCAAAAACATTACAAAATGTTGAAGGCTCAGATGATTCTTAGTATTTTTTAGCAATAAAGTATTTTTTAATTTAAGGTATACACTTTTTTTAGACATAATGCTATTGCACACTAAATAGTTTATAGTATAGTGTAAACATAATTTTATATGCTCTAGGAAACAAAATAAATCTGTCTGACTCAATATACAATATTTGCTTTATATAGTAGTCTGAAACTGAACCCAAAGTAGTTCCAAGGTATACCTTTTATTTGAGTTCCCACTAAATGTAGGGATGTTGAAATATCTTCATTGTGTTAATCATGGCCTTTAGAGACAAATCCCTACATTTAGTGGGAACTCAAATAACTATGCTAATGAATGAAAGTATAAGCACACAATAAAAGTTGGAAATTATCTCCATTCCTCACATAAAAATAATATGTAGAATTAGAAAGAAAAGAAACCAAATGAGCATTCCAAGTTGATTCTTTTTAAGTAACCCTACAGCTACTACATATGTTCATGACAATTAGAGCAGAAAAAAGAAAAAGGCTTTGGGAGGCTGAGGTGGGTAAATCATGAGGTCAGGAGATCGAGACCATCCTGGCCAACATAGTGAAACCCCATCTCTACTAAAATATAAATAAAAATTAGCTGGGCCTGGTGGTGCATGCTTGTAGTCCCAGCTACTCGGGAGGCTGAGGCAGGGGAATCGCTTGAACCTGGGAGGCGGAGGTTGCAGTGAGCCGAGATTGTGCCACTGCACTCCAGTCTGGTGACAGAGCAAGACTCCATCTCAAAAAAAAAAAAAGAAAGAAAAAGGACAATAGAAATAATTTCTATTCTGTCTATATAGTAGTAGTTTTGGGGGTATAGAAAGTAAACATTAATCAAGAACACTCATCTAAATTTGTTGGTAAAATGTAGTCATCGTTTGGCACAGGTTTTGCTTTGGTATATAATGAAGTTGAACTACCCCATCTTCCCTCTCATATAATACAGTCCCACAAACAAAAAAGAATCTCACTAGAGGTGGGTCTTTATCAGAAATATCTGCCAATCTAGTCAGGTAGTAGAAAAAAAATCATTTTCTCCTCCTAGGCCTAAGATTCTTCATGTAAAAATTGTAAGACTGAATAAAGATGACCTCTAAGTTTCTATAATTCATGTACATGTATGAATTTATACATCATGATGTAGATAGAGAGCAGGCTATACTTTCCGGCTCCATGATGCTAGGCTTGGCCACATGACTTGCTTAAAACAAATATGATACATGCATCTTTTAAGAGAAAACTGAAGTGCATTTCATCTGTTTCTCTCTCTGCTAAAACAATGACAATGTCCCAAAAGAGGGCCCTTCCTTTACCTTTGATCGTGGAGAGAAGATGACACAGAGTGGTGCCAGAGTCAGTCAACAGGAAACATCACTCACTGGGAAACACATCTTTGCTGTTGTCATTACATCAGAACCTAATGAAAGCTAATTAAATAGAAGAATTTGCTAATAATTGAGTTAAACTTAAGATCAAAACACTCTAATTTAATAGAAAACTCATAACCAAAATGTGACGTAAGCGGGAGATAAGTTAAAAGGCAACTTACAAAAATTACAAAAATAGTATTTGTAGTAAAAGAAATGGGCTTAAACATGTAATAGAATTTTCCTTGTGATTTCTGACTTGAATACTTGAATAATTATTCCAAGTAAGATTCAACATTTTTACAAAATTGTTCTTCATCATTAAGATATTCCAAGATTATATTTCCACCATTATATAAAGGACAATCCTCCTTAGCAATCCAGGTTTCCAAAGCATGATCCAAAGGTAAGGCTTCTCCTGAAGTAATGTGACACAGCCTTAATTTCTGTGAAGAGGGAAGTAAGTCATACTTTAACAAATAAACATGCTTGAATGGAGCATCATAAAACCTTTATGGAAATATTGTCATAACGAGATGTTACCTTAGCTGTTAATTTGTTATTGTCATTTTTAAGACTGGCTAGAGAAGCAGCAAAGTCTATGGCCTTTCCAATGCTCCATCGGTGGCAAAAGAACATGGGTTTGCTCTTCTCTTTGCTCCCTTTAGGTAAGAAAACCTGAAAGTAAATTCTTTCTGTCTGTAAAAAGAAAAAGTTAAAACAACCATTACATAGACAAAATAGACATCAGTTTTTGTCTGGTGCCAGCCTTTCTGCTCTTCTTCTGTTCAGAGCAGAATTACCCTCTAACAATGTATCTACTGTTTGGAATATCAATCACAGTAGCCAAAAATACACATAAATGCATGGGCATGGGACCAAGACCCTCGCCAGGGTGATCTGTGCAAAGACAGGCATGGGGCCTAAGTAAGGCTAATCAGGTCTGTTTCTGAGATTTTACGTTCAACAGCTTAGGAGACAAACAGCATTCTCCTTAATTTTTTTTTTTTTTGAGATGGTGTTTCACTCTTCTTGCCATGACTGGAGTGCAATGGTACAATCTGGGCTCACTGTAATTCTCTGCCTCCTGGGTTCCAGTGATTCTCTTGCCTCAGCATTCCAAGCCGGGATTACAGGCATGCGCCACCATGTCCGGCTAAGTTTTGTATTTTTAGCAGAGACAGGGTTTCACCATGTTGATCAGGCTGGTCTTAAACTCCTGACCTCAGGTGATCTGCCTACCTAGGCCTCCCAAAGTTCTGGGATTACCGGCATGAGCCACCACATCCGGCCTCTCCTTAATGTGTTTAAGTTTCATCAAATTAAACCTGGAGTTGCCTACAGTGAACCCTGTTACCCATAGCCATTCCTGAACCAATATGGAAAAAGTTTCCTCAAATGGGAAAATATGAGGTCAGTGTAGAAAGAGAAATAACAAAAAAACATAAACTTGACATAATCTGAGTCCCTGAATTTGGTCATCTCCCAAGACCAGATCAATTCATTATTCCCCATTATATCAGGGAAAAAGTTTGTTTTGATTGTCCTGGTTGGAATTGAGTTTTTATCACTTACAATTCAAAGATTTTTAACACAGATAACATTTCTTTTTGTGTGAAATACCTCACTATACATTGGGACAGAAGGACTTTTCAGAACAAGGAAACGTCAAAAAAAAAAAAAGATAGAAAAAAACCCTCAAACCCCAAGTACCTTATCAACAAAAGAAGGAATTTGAAAAGGATTTCTCTGGTATTCTATATCCTATCTGCCCTCTCCTTACATTGTATTTTATTGCCTAATTAACAAATGGATGGCTGAGCATAACAGCTCATGCCTGTAATCTGAGCACTTTGGGAAGTCAAGGCAGGCAAACTACTTGAGCCCAGGGGTTTAAGACCATCCTGGGCAACATGGTGAAACTCCATCTCTACAAAAAGTACAAAAATATTAGCTGAGTAGGGTGGTGTGTGCCAGTAGTCCCAGCTACTTTGGAGGCTGAGGCGGGAGGATCACTTGAGCCCGAGAAGGTTGAGGCTGCAGTAAGTGGTGAACATTCCACTGCACTATAGCCAGGGCAACAGAGTAAGATCCTATTTCAACAAAACAAATCAAAACAAAAAAAAGGCAGGCAAGAATGAATAGGAGCAAAAGGTTTGTCCTTTGATCTTCACTGATTCCTAAAAACTGCTTTTTAAAAGTGCTGGCTTTACAGATCAATTCTTGCTACAACAAAAATTTTGGCATAACTGGAGCATCTCTAACTTGTGGGGGAAAGAGGATAATTATTCTGAGAAATAATAAATTCAACACAATTCCCATCTCAGCCTTAAGGCATGGGTGTTTGTTATTATAGGTAAGAAGTATTAAAAGAAAAAACAAGAAACCACTGGAAATTCAAACTGTGAGCCACCTCTGTAATCAAACAGTCCCTGCTCCAAAAACAAAGTAGCAAGAAGATAGAGAAAGAGAAAATTTAAAAGATACAGCCTTATCTTAAAAAAAAAAAAAAGAAAGAAAGAAAAATATGTATGAGGTTCAAAGTGATAGTCTGGGTGAGCCACAGGCTTTCAGGGCTCCAGAAGAGGAAGAGGTAACTTCAGCTTAAGGTAAGTGGGAAATAACAGTACCACAGGGAGATAAGTATAAACTTCTGGGTCAGGCTCCCTACTTGGAAGCAGAGGAGTGTGAGGGACCTGTGCTCCAGGAAGGGCAGCTAAAGAAGTTACTGCTGAATGCTGACTTAAGTACAAAATTACTAGACAGGGATCTGTGAGTGAGGGGAAGGAGAGATATAGGAAGAACCTCCTATTCAAGATGAACATGTCAAATTCAGTAACTGAAATTTCAAAATAAACTAAAGGTTAACTGACTATGGGAAAATGAAGACAGCTGAACTTTAAAAAGACATTAAAATAAGGTATTTAGGATGTACAATTAGATTAAAAAAGTGATAATATCCATAAAAAGGAACAAACAGTTATAAAGTCAAAGCAGGCACAAATAAAACAAGAAAATACATGAAGATCCAGCTTAAAATATAGCTTCTGGAGTAAAACACTCAAAGTTTAATATAGATAAGTTTCTATAATCCTCAATAAAAAGCCTTAATTTATTATAAGATGGATACAAGGAAGTCATCCAGAACACTGCATAAAGAGATACAAAGAGAGAAACAATTATAGGTTGGGTGCAGTGGATCACACCTGTAATCCCAGCACTTTGGGAGGCTGAGGCAGACAGATCACTTGAGGTCGGGAGATTGAGGCCAGCCTCACAAACATGGCAAAACTCTGTCTCTACTAAAAATACAAAAATTAGCTGGTGTGCTGGCACGCACCTGTAGTACCAGCTACTTAGGAGGCTGAGGCACGAGAATTGCTTGAACTCGGGAAGTGGAGGCTGCAGTGAGTCAAGATTGCGCCACTGCACACCAGCCTGGGTGAAAGAGTAAGATTCTGTCTCAAAGCAAAAACAATTACAGATTCCCAAAATATGTCAACAAGAGATTCAGAAAAGAAGAAGTGGTAAAGTAGCACTATTTAGAGAGAAAATGAGTACAATTTTCCAAAAAATCAAAATTTAAAATGTGTCAAACTGAATAATTGAAATAAATTCACACACAGAAGCATTTCACAAAAATTGGAAAATATCACAAGAAATCTTAAAAGCTACCAAAAAAGATAGATTATTCATAGAGTAAGACTGACACAGATATTTCTGCAATAATAGAAGACAAAGTATATTAAATGAGTTGAGAAAGTTCAATAGACAATCCAGCTAAAAGTAAGGGCAAAATAAGGTCATGTTCAAACAAACAAACAAAAAAGACTAATAGAGTAATTTTATTACCAGAGACCTTTATTGAATGAACTGCTAAAGAATGTACTTTAGCCAAAATAAAAGTGAGCCCCAATGAAAGAGAAACTAAACAAACAAGCAAACAAAAAACAAAGACGTATTGGTAAATTTAAATAGCTATTAATTTAAAATTAATTTTTATATGTTAAAGTAAGATGATGGGATAGGAGATAGTCAACTGGATGAAGCATTTCAAGCTCGTATTCAGGAGGATATAATACCAACTGACTTTAGAATTTGAGGAAAAAAGGCTATTTAATTATATACATAAAGAATGTGAGCACATAGTTGTTATCACCATTATCATTTTAGGATATTATACTGGAGATTATAGGTAATGTAGCATGAAAAATGAAATAATGAGTATAATTATTGAAAAAGTTAGAGCTATTCTTATTTGTTAATGAGGTATCATTTTTAACTAGAAAATGGAAAACACTAATAGAAAAAACTTCTAAAATTAATAGAAGATTTTGGTGATGTAGCTGAATAATACGAGTATACAGAATTCAAGATTTTTTTCTCTTTATTAGCAATAAGTACTTGGCAATAGAAGAGAGGAAAATATTCTGTTTCTAATCTAAACAAAACCCATAAAATAAGTAGCAATGAAAATATGGAATACAACCTAAAAGAAGAAAAACATAAAATGTTACAGAAGGAGGGCTAGGCACAGTGGCTCACGCTTGTAATCCCAGCACTTTGAGAGGCTGAGGTGGGTGGATCATCTGAGGTCGGAGTTCGAGACTAGCCTGACCAATATGGAGAAACCCCAACTCTACCAAAAACACAAAATTAGCCAGGGTTGGTGGCACATGCCTATAATCCCAGCTACTTGGGAGGCTGAGGCAGGAGAACCACTTGAACCTGGGAAATGGAGGTTGCAATGAGCCAAAATTGCACCATCGCACCCCAGCCTGGGCAACAAGAACAAAACTCTGTCTCAAAAAAAAAGGTTACAGAAGGCAATAAAACATCTGAATAAATAAAGACATACAAGGTCCTTATAGAAAGACAATGTCATAAAAATGTCATTTCTTCCAAAATTAATGTATAGCGTACAAAGCAAATCCAATGTGAATCCTTCAGGAATGGTTCTGAGTCAGGTCAAAAGCCTAGACTTGCTTGTAGATACTGGTGGGAATTTGAACTGTACTTCACCTAACTTCATAGAAGCCACTCAGGTATTCATAAAGGATATTTTGCATCAATTACTGGAATCTTATGAGCAGGAAAGGGGCTGGAAGCCTCAGGACATAAAAAAGGAGGCCAAGATGGTACAATATCCCCAGGAGAATGGCAAAGCGGCCTTCAAGCAAATGATCAAATCCTCATTTCCTCCAGGCAGTGTTCACTTATCAAATCCTGTGGGAGACATGAGGGGATGTACGAACCCACATTTCTGTCTAAGATTATGCTGTTAAGTGTTGCTTTTTATAGTCATATTCTCAGTTTCCACAGTTTTGCTTTTAAAGAGTCTAAATTCTTTAACAGGCTATGTTGAAGGCTACTATTCACAACCCTGCCCCATTATGATAACCTAGAAATCCTAAGAGTGGTATTTTTCAAAATCTGAACATTCAGATGGATGAATAAATGCTAATAAAAGTACTAAGAAAAAATGGAAAAGTATAGATGGGACTTGCATGATCAGATATATAACATTCTATAAAGCTATTGTTCCAAATCAATTTGGTATTAACTTATGAATAAAAAATAAATGAGTAGACTAGAATAGAAAATTAAGAAATAAACGCATATGCAGAAAATAAAATGTTCAGCTTTTCATGAACATAATATTTTGGTATTTCGATCCAATAAAACATTAATAATTTATTAATCAGTGATGGCAAAACTACCTAAACAACTAGAAGAAAATAAAATTAAGCCCTTAGCTAATGTCACATGCTAACAAAAAAACCAGGTGGGTTGAAGACTAATGCAAAACAAGCTGGATGCAGTGGCTTGCGCCCGCAATCCCAACACTTTGGGAGGCTGAGGTGGGCGGGTCACCTGAGGTCGGGAGTTTGAGACCAGCCTGACCAACATGGTGAAACCTCGTCTCTACTAAAAATACAAAAATTAGATGGAGTGGTACCACAAACCTGTAATTCCAGCTACTCAGGAGGCTGAGACAGAAGAATCACTTGAACCCGGGAGGCAGAGGATGCAGTGAGCTGAGGTTGCACCATTGCACTCCAGACTGGGCAACAAGAGCGAAACTCCGTCTCAAAAAAAAAAAAAAAAAAAAAAAAAAAAAAAAAAAAAAAAAAAAAAAAAAAAAAAAAAAGGCTAATGCAAAACAAAACAAAAACACACAAAACCCAAAGGAAAACAATAACAGGAATGAAAGGAAAGACAGAACTTGGAAAATGTAAAGGTAAAATATTGATATGTCAATAAGAAATATATGTAAAATCAATACATTGATAGATTTGAAAAAGTTTATAAAGAAGAACGATTATAAAGGATTAATATCCTTTATAGTCTAAGAGCTCCTATAAGTTGACCAAACAAAATAAAAAGTCGAATATCCCAAAAGAAAAATGATCAAAGGATACATATTAACAATTTAGAGAAGAGCAATTCCAAATGCCCAAAAAACATATTAACGTTATCCAACCTGAACAGTAGTCAGGGAAATACAAATTAAAGCATTTATGAAATATCTTTTTATAGCCAGCAGACTGTAAAATATTAAAAAGAATGCTAATAGCTACTGGAAACCATAAAGGAAAAGGGTACTCTCATGTTTGGCCACGAGAGGCAGTATGTTGAACTGGTTAGAATGGCAGGCTCTTACCAAGTTAGCGCTCTCAAAAATACTTAACTTCAGATTACTTATCTGTAAAATTAGAATAAAAATATATCTCAGAAGATTTGTAAGTACTAAAGGTGATTAAACACCTAGAGCCACAAAACAATGCTTAGTATAGCAATCAGTCAATGAAGTTTGATTAGAAATGTGAATTGTTTCAATTTCTTGGTAAAGTTGTTTGGCAATTTTTATTAAAATTTAAAATATGCATACCCTTTGACACAGCAAACATGTTCTTGGGAATTTATCTCACAGAAAGAAAAGGAACCACATAGGCTAATTAGCACAGTAGCCCAAACTGGAAACAAAGTGAATGCTCATTAATAGAAAAAATGACAAAATAAGCCACAGTATACCCACGCCACAGAAAAGGATGCAGTTTGCAAAGAAAATGATTTAGAGTCACACGAACTCACTTGAGGGAATTTCTACTAGGCATTAATCAGAGTAGGATATAAAGAGAGAAGGATATGTCATCTACTCAAAACCTGTTTTAGTTTTATTTACAGCCCTAATCACTACATGAACTATTATATTTAATATCTGTCTCAGCCTAGTGGCATATAAATTCCAGGAACTCTGGGTTCATAAGGGCAGGGACCCTGTTTTTCACTGCTGTACTCTCAGGGCTTAGTATATAGAAAGTATTTTTTTTTAAGTGTGTTGATGTAAAATGATACACACACATATAATACACACTTAAACATATGTGTATATACTACACATATATATATTATACATATAAGTATGTATAAACAGATAGACACACATATACTGCTAGTATATCTATATTTATATACACACAAACATTAATATAGGAAAATCTTTTATCTACAAACGTATAGAATGCTTTATGATAGATATATTGTTAAGTGTGTGAAGAAGATGGTTTGTGAAACCAGACTGCCTAGTTTCAATTCATAGTTCTCCACCTACTAGCTACGTTAATAAAAAGTTGCTCTTTTTGTGAAAGTACATACCTTATAAGCTTGTTGCAAGGATGAAATGTGTTAGAAGAGTGTCTCAGAGTAAGTCTTGTAGAAGTTTTTACTGCTATGTTTTAAGTAACAGAAGAATTGCAAAGTAATATAAGTATTACTGAATACTTTAGGGCAGGTCTTCTCAACTTGGTCACCATTTACATTTTAGGCCAAGAAATTCTCTGTTGTCAGCCTTGTCTTCTACAGTGTATGAATTTAACAGCATATCTGGCCTCTACCAACTAAATACCAGGAGCACCCCATTCCCAACTGTGACAACCAAAAATGTATCCAGAATTGCTGAATGTCCCCTTGGGGGGCAAAACTGCTCTCAGTTAAGAACTGCTGCTTTAGTGGGATGAAAATGGATGAGAGACATAGGAGAGTGTATGTTTTTTCTCCATATGTATCTTTTGATAGTTACACTTTTTAAAAGCTTGTACTATCTTTGCAATTTTAAAAATATAAAATAAAATTTCAAAAAAGGAAAATATCAGGGGTAGTCATTTAAATAAAAAATTGTAATCAATGGTTTCAAAGCCATCAGAACAAATTCAATCAATACAAAAGGAAAGAGGAAGAGTCAAAGAAAAAGGGTGATGAGCAGAAAAAATATGATGGAAGAAATATGTTCAAATACACCAATGGCCACAATAAACAAGAAAGGATTCAACTCACCTACAAAAGAGAGACACTATCAAACTGGTTTAAAAAATAACAAAGTCCAGCTATATGCTGCTTACAAGAGACATCCTAAAACAAAATAACAAAAAAAGTTGAAATATAAAGGGATGAAAAAGTTTCATACTTGTTAAATATTCACCAAAAGAAAGCTGGTGAAACAATATTATAATTCAAAATGTTATTAAAGGCAAAATTTATAAAGGACATATAACAATCAAGAAATTCTATGCACTTGATAATATATAACTCTAGAAACCATTAGAGTTATATAAAAAAATTAACAAAACCACATCCATAGTGGGAGATTTTAACCTATCTGAGAAACTGATAAATCAAGTGGACCAAAAATTAAGCACACACATATACATATATAGTACATATAGGCAGAGAAAGATAGTAGACAATAAAGCAAACAGGGCAAAATGTAAATAATTGGTACATTTGGGTAAAGGATATGGAAAAGTTACTTGTACTATGTTTGTAACTTGCCTATGTTTGAAATGGTATCAAAATAAAGGCACCAAACAAGTATACTCTTACAACTAAACAAGTATATTAAAAATAAATACATTACCATTCTATGGGAAAGGCTGGAAAAAGGACACTAGAGAAAAATATAAACAAAGCAGAAGGAAATAACAGAAAAGCAAAAATTAGTGAAACAGAAAACAAAACATAGAAGTCTTTAAATCCAAATCATGGTTATTTGAAAACACTAAGAAAAAATAAGGATAAACTTCTAACTTTTTTGTCTAAAGGGGAAAAGGGAAAAGGGAAATGTACAAATGAAAAATATTAAGAAAGAAGTAGAATGACAAAAGGCACATAGAGATTCTGAAGTATAACAAGAATAACTGGAACAATTTGATAACAATAAACTGAAAAATCTACATCAAATAATATTTTGGAAAAATATTTACCAAAATTGACTTCAGAAGAAATACATTTTCCAGATAAACCAAGATGTAACATATTGGAGTGGTATTAGAAATTCTTGAAGAATTACAACTAAGTGTTATCAAACCTTCGAGAACAAATAATTCCCACCCTTTACGACTACCTCAAAGAATAGAAGAGGGAAAGCTACTCAACTAATTTTTGAGCATAATCTTGCTATAAATGTCACTAACACTAAAGAGGATGTTAGCAAATCAATTTCTCAGTGCATTTTAAAGAATTATATGCCAGAGTCAAGTGATTTATCCTGGAATATTTGATGACCTAATGACAGAAAAACTGATTAATAAAAGTTATTGCATTGATGATGAAAAAACAATCTTACTTGATGTAAGAAAAAAATTTACAGTAAAGTTTAATATCTATTCATAATATAAATTCCTAGCAAACTAGGAATAGAAAGAAATGTATCATGAAAAAGGCTACTTACACATTTTTACAGTATATCTAATACTTGATGAAACTTTAGACACATTTGCATTAAAGTCAGAAACATGATGAAGATTTCTTCTATTGCCCATATTATTCAACATTGTTCTGAAGATCTCAACATTAAGACAAACAATGATAATATAAAGAAAAGAAGAAAAAAATCTGCAGAAAAAAATCCACAAAAATTCGTATTTGCAGAAGATATGACTACACAGAAAATAGCCCAGAAAATCTACAGTATATGGGAACTATTAGGAATTTATTTGCTGAATAGAAGGACATATAACATCAACCAACAATAATTAGGAAAATGTAATTTTCTATTTTTTTGAGACTGAGTCTCACTCTGTCACCAGGCTGGAGTGCAATGGCATGATCTTGGCTCACTGCAACCTCCACTCACTGTAATCACCTGGGTTCAAGTGATTCTTGTGCCTCAGCCTTGCAAGTGGCTGGAACTACAGGCATGCACCACCACACCCAGCCAAGTTTTGGATTTTTAGTAAAGATGGGGTTTCACCATGTTGGTCAGGATAGTCTCAATCTCCTGACCTCGTGATCTGCCTGCCTCGGCCTCCCAAAGTGCTGGGCTTACAAGCATGAGCCACCATGCCTGGCGAAAATGTGATGTTTTAAAAAAGGTATTATTTATAATGACAGCAAAAATTATAACAAGCCTAAGAATAAAACTAAGAAAAGGCATGTAAATACTCATGGTAAGCATTATAAAAACTTACTTCTATAATTACACATAAAAGAAAGAAAGTTGGAAAGATATGCAACAGACATAGATGAGAAGAGTCAAACTCTAAAGATGTCAACTGTCTCTAATCTAAAATTCAGCATTATTTCTATCAAAATCATAATTTCATAGTACACAGCAAAGTGATCCTAAAATTTTTATGAAGGAATAAATGATCAAAAATAGACATGGTTGAAAGCACTGCTAGAAAGACACATATAAGTACAACCACTGACAACAGGAAGCTGATCATATGCAGTAAAGCTGAAGATCAGCAAAGTCCATAAACCAGGTTTTCTATTTCTAGGTATATTCCCTAAAGCAGCATTTTTTAAACTGGTAGTCTCAATCCATCAAGGGTTGAAAATCAACCTAACAGGTTTGACTAACAGTCTTTAAAATAGAAAATAAAAATATCATAATATATAACACATATTAACGGTAAGTACCACTCAACTAAACTGTGTTAAGGTATGTATATATATCGGGTTGTTATATAAAATAATTGATATTGTGAAGTTCTAAAGGAATAGTCCTAGAGAAATTCTTCTACATATACACAAGGATGGTCACCATAGACAGTTTATAATAGCAAAAAAATGAAAAAATCTGAATTTTGTTTATTAAGAGAATAAATTGGGGTATATTAATACTATGGAATAATGTGCAGCTATCAAAACAAATGAGCAAGACTAAATGTCTCAGCATGGATAAATGTTAACAGCACATGCCAACTGGGGAAAAAAAAATCAACTAGAAGAAGGATATATATGGTTCACTGCCATATCTGTAAAGTGAAAAAACTCACAAAACTATGTATTATTTATGCAGACATATACCATGCAATATCAAAAATGATACATACCAGGTTCAGGTTAGTTGTTAATTGATGGGAAGGAGGAATAAAAAGAGGACTTCAACTATATTTGAAGTTTATGTGTTTTTAAAAATCTCTAAGACTAACCTGTGGCAATGACTTATCGCCATCAGCATGCATCTTTAATTTCATCAATGCAACCTTTGCAGCTGTTTCACTACTTTTGGCACCTTTCCGTCGTTTATTTGCTGTTTCTCCTGTCTTGGAATCTAAGAAATAAGTGTAAGCATGTAATCACATAAAACTTTCACATTACAAGTAGAGTTTTATTATAAAGCATTTATTAATTATGACCCTGAAACATATATAAATTACACACGGCCGGGCGCAGTGGCTCACACCTGTAATTCCAAAACTTTGGGAGGCTGAGGTGGGTGGATCACAAGGTCAGCAGTTCAAGACCAGCCTGGCCAGGATGGTGAAATCCTGTCTATACTAAAAATACAAAAAATTACCAGGCTTGGTGGTGGGTACTTGTAATCCCAGCTACTGGGGAGGCTGAGACAGAAAATTGCTTGAGCTTGGAAGGTGGAGGTTGCAGTGAGCCAAGATTGTGCCACTGCACTCCAGACTGGGTGACAGAATGAGACTCGGTCTCAAAAAGAAAAAAATATTACACACAAGAGAGATATACAGAGACCACATTCATTGTACAGGTATTATATTTACATGGTCAATGGAAAAATATCATTGAGATTGATCCAAGCAATCTCCACATCAAAAAATTCACTAAAATGTGCTTCTTTCCAACTTAAGCCTAGTTAACCTAAAGCAGTCATTAATGCTTCTACAGACAACCTTAAGAATTGGTTATGCAAGATTTTAATAAAGGTACTATCCTTAATATAGGATAAAAATTCTGAGCTAACATACCAACAGAGAGAATGATTTACATCACAGATACATTCTTTCCTGGTATCTCTTATTAGCAGCAGCATTCACAGCACAGCTGATTAGGCTTAGAGTTTAGTCTATAGAGAAAGCAACTGATTACTTCAATCTCATGAATACCACTTCTAGCCTGGATGGTTAACTAGCTAATCTAGGTGGCTCAGCAAAAGAGATAAATATTTATGGTGGAGTACTTCCAAATAATTTTCACATTTTCATTGGTCAGGTAGACCTTGTAAGAAATACTGTCACAAGAATATCATCAAAATACAAGTTAATACGAATACCACTGGGGCTATTAATGATGCCTCCCATAACTGAAAAGCAGACATAAAAAGCAGGAGCTCTGGAACTAGGAAAAGCAAAAAAAAAAAAATGGGCTTTCTAGATATTTACCAATAATGTCTTTAACAAGTTTCTGAGTGGCAGCCATTCGAGGCTTCGGGATTTCCAGTTTTTCACACTCATGATCTGACTGATGACGGTGTCTATGAGCAACAGAAAAGTGACACTAGTTCATGTATTTGTATATGACTTAAACAGATATACACAGTGTGAACAGTTAAGCAATTACCTCAGGCAAAAATTCTTCTCACAATAAGGACATATAACTGCCACAAGTTCTCTTTCAGCACAGTCTTTGAATGAGCACGGGTAAGATGTATGTTGATCTGTCTTTAGTCTCTCACTGATTACAGTCACCTGAAAATGCAAAAAGGAGGAAATGTATTACATTTCAGACCAAAACCAAATCAATATGTCCATTCTAGAAGGCAGCATTCATATTATTTTTGCTTAAATTTATTAGAGCAAGTTACTTACTCTCACATAAGGATTATAACAAATATTTTGTGTGACAAATGATTACTATGCTGACTGTTCTACATTTTCATAATTTTCCTACTGTGGTATATTTATCTTCTAAGTCAAGTTAAAATGACTATTTAATTACTCTCTACGATATTAACCTGCTTTGTAACAGTCTCATACAAAGATGCCCCTATAACATGCTCAGGTAATTATCTCATCAACCCTCAAATGGCAAGTCAACCTACTTTCCACTCTAATTTTAGGGGATGAAACACTTAACTCAGAGAATAAAACACTTAAAAATTACTTATTTATTCATGAGATAAAAGGTTAAAGACAATTTTCATAATCATATATTATTCTCTATGCCTTATTTTATATTCTTATTACCAGCAAATACTCCATTACAGGAAGAAAAGATTTTGAAAGACTTAAAAAAAAAAAAGATCTAGATCAGTCAGGTTATCTGGGCATTAAGAAACCAGGTTTCTAAAGATGAATAAACTTAGGGAAATAATTGCTTGAAAACTACAACCAAAGTGAATTCCTTTTTATAAATAATAGTCACATCTTGTTGGAATTAAGTATCTTTTTGAACTTGTTGCAATGGTCTAATGATATTTCAGTATTTAATTAATGAGATCTAATTATCTGAGAGACATTCAGAGAAATCACATTATATCCTAAGAAAAAAGAAAACACAGGATAGATTTAAAAACTATAAGAGACATCAGTAAGTTTTATTGTATGACTAAATATTTCCTCCAATTAATGCTGTACAAAATCAACATGCTAGGTAATTTTAATGTTCCACAAATAGATCACGTAAACTTCAAAGAGTCCGATTTTGACTGATTGTTTTCACTTGAAAGAATCAGATTTCAACAGAACCTCATGCAACTTTAACTTTCTATAACTGAGAGAACAGATGTGAAAATTCTTGGTAAAGCACTTGGTAAATGATGGGCAGGAATAAATGTCCACTGAAAAGTGTAGAGCACATTGGACATGCTGGACTTAGCTTTCTCTCTTCCTCTTGGAACTGAACTGCCTTCAGGGAGAAAGCCTAACCTGATCCAATACTGCCATGACTGCTGGGCAAGTCTGCTTAATTCTGGATTTTCCATGTAAACCCATTTGGCTCTATGCTTAGCTTTATCATTCAACTTATCTTTACCAGTAATAGGGGTAATATTTTGACTTCTATCTGCCAGATCTTTCTTAAATTATGATTTGTGCAAAATAGGGTAGGAATTTTATTAGACTATAGATTTGTTCCTGGTGGTCTTAGGCTGACTGAACCAGAATGATTTACTACCACAGATCCTGTCAGCAGGCATCAATGAAAATGAACACAACAGTAAAGGACACAGTAAACTGGAGGGAATATATAAGGAGAACATTCACTTTAGTGTATATTGATAAATAGATAGCCTTGGCCAGGAGTGGTGGCTCACACCTGTAATCCCAGCACTTTGGGAGGCCGAGGCAGGTGGATCACCCAAGGTCAGGAGTTTGAGACTGTAACCGGGTGTTTTTTTGGGTGTTGGCGAGGCACAGCTCCCCTAGGAGAAGGCTGTGGGTTCTTGGCCTTCAACCTTTTAAGGAATAAGCACTGGGACCACTGCAGGTGCGCCATATGCTTGTAAAAGTAAATATTGGACCCAAGAAGTGTTGCAGAAAGGTGTTTTTATTTAGGTAGAGAAAAGAGAAGGAAAGGAGAAGAAGAGAAAGACTTCCATGAAGAGTGTGAAAAACGATTCCAGAGGGGAAATCCCAGGAGGAGCTCCCACCATGTGGGAGGGGATTTCAGACAGTTGGAAATCCGGTGTGGATGAAGAAGCAGGAAATTTATCCTGGGAGAAATTCCCACCTTCCCAAGTTCCTTTGGCCAATGAAAGATGTTCCTTTAAACCTCTACTGGAGTGATTGACTTTTAGTTTCTTCCCGTGCAGGGGAAATTGAAACATAAATGGTTAAATCTCCCCGATGGAGATAGGAGGGGGGCATGGCACTGGGACCTTTTTGCCCTTAAAACTACACCCTCTCATGGACCCGGAAAGAGAACACATTCCCTCATTCCCCCTTCTGAACAGGAAAATTTAACTTTTGTTGGAATAGGGGTGTTGATGTTTGGAAATCCAGCGTGGGTAAAGGAGCAGAGGAATTTATCATAGAAGAAATTCCCACCTTCCCAAGTTCCTTTGGCCAATGAAAAGAATTCCTTTAAACTTCTGCTGGAGTAATTAACTTTTAGTTTCTTCTCGCATCAGCAAAATTTAAACATAAACTTTTAAATCTCCCGGATAGAAAGAAATGGAAGGAGGGAATGGCGCTAGAAAGTTCTTGCCCTTAAAACTACGCCCCCTCATGAACCTGGAAAAAAAACACATTCCCTCAAGACCAGCCTAGCCAACACAGTGAAACCCCACCTCTACTAAAAATACAAAAATTAGTTGGGCATGGTGGCTCATGCCTGTACGCCCAGCTACGTGGGGGGCTGAGGCAGAAGAATTGCTTGAACACAGGAGGTAGAGGTTGCAGTGAGCTGAGATCCTGCCATTGCACTCCAGCCTGGGCGACAAGATCGAAACTTCGTCTCGAAACATAACAAAACATACAAACAAATAAATATATAGCCCTATGCTGTAAGTGGGCTACCTAAACAGAAATGTTGAGGAATAAGAAATGGGATAAAAATTTACAAATACCAAGTAAAACAATTTTTCTTTCAAACAGAGAAAAATAATATAAATGAAGCAAAAGACTCTTTACATAATCAGTTTAGTATGCCAAACTTTAATCTCTGTGACACTAACTGGCTTTAAATCTAATCAAATTCTGAATGAAAGTACGTAAATATAAATACATTTTTATCAGATTGGAAAAATATTAACATACCTCAGGACAACCATGAGACTCCCTGCTTCTGTGTTCAAGGCTTAAAAAATAACAATAAACATTTATTTAAATAACATACTTAAAGATAACTGCAGTAATTTGTGATATTTTAATGTTCAGTATTCTTAAGACACATTATGCTTAATAACATTATGTGTTAATAACTTTGAATATGCGGAAAAACTGAAATGTCAGATAAAGATGGAGCATCTATAGTCTCAAAAGTTTTAAAACTCAAATGTTCCACTTCAATATGAGTAAAAACAATTCACCACCCTAAATTACATTGACTTTGAATGCTTTAGGGTACACGAAAATATAAACAAATCTTTCAGTTCTTTTTATTTCTAAAAGATCATCAATAGTAAAATGCAAAGAGTGCTCTAATTCCAAATAATTTAAAAACATATATTACTTTTATTTACTTCCAAGAAATCATTTTGAATTACATTCTGAAAGGAATTTATTCTTTCAGTGCTCTATTTCATAAATTAAATGCTTGACATTTTAAAGTTTAATTGTAAGGAAAACTCATTTTCCAAAATTCTTGGTTAATTCCCAGGTTTTACTTGGCATGTGATGTACTCAAATGCTGTGATTCCCGTTTTAGGCATTTATAGGTTAGGCTCTTTTTATTTTATTAATTAAAGAGTAATAATTATAGCTAGATTTTTTTACCATAATACTTATATTATGAATATTATTTTCTCCTTGTAATTAAAAGACTAAAATGTAACTTTAATATAAAATTCAAATATATAACCCCACTTTTGGAAGTTTAAGAATTAGTCACATATACAAAGAAGTAATCAGAGCCTATTACTTTACTGAATATCAATAATCAATGGCTAAAGTAACAATTATTTTAAACCATTCTACTTTCCAGAAATAACTCCATATTATTAAACACTAAAGTTACTCCCAAATCCTGCATAAAAACTTAACTTACCAAAATATTCCTGAACAATCACCACACACAAATGGAAGAAAATCTAAAATTGAGGGTAAATGTATGTACTGGTCAGTATCTGATTTCGATTTAGTTTTCTTAAGCAAGAAGACAACCTCTATGGAAAAACTTCCCATTTTGACTAACATCCTAGTGTAGCAAGCTACTATGTAACCACTCTAACACAAGTAACCACAACTTCAGTAACTGTGACAGAAATTAACTGGATTAACAGAAGGTATTAATAGATGTTACTTGTAACTTTACTAAATCTGACAAAAATAAGTTCTAGTGGTTTTCTTTTTCTTTTTTCTTTTGTTTCCCAGATTTACTAGGTGTTGTTTTTGATGACTGTATACTGCAAAAATTCCGCATTTGCAGTTAAAAACCTGGGATTCAGTTCTGACTCCACTGTTTACTAATCTAACAATGCCAGGCAAGTTACTTAACAGTAAAGCTTGGCAGATATGTGTGTGTGTGTGTGTGTGTGTGTGTGTGTGTGTATATCTCCAATAAATATATTTATATACATATATCTGTGTACTAATATATACCTGTATGAACATATATATATATCTCCAAAGCTTGACTATTCAAATATATTTATATTTATATATACATTTATAAGATTTATGGTATTTCAAATGTATATATTTGATGTAATATATAGTACACCTATATATAGTATATGTGTGTGTTTCTATATATGTATGTAAATAAACATATACAAAACCAAAGTTCTCATTGAGTAACAAAAATAGAAAGATACAGACAGGTAGATACAGAGACAAATAGATATAAACATATGAGCACATCTTTCCTGTGTATATATGTATATGTGTGTGTATGCACGTGTCAATATATCTATATCTGTATCTGTGCTGTATGCCACACTGACCTTACAAGGTAATTACAAAAACCAAATGAGATATACGTAAAAGATCAGAATAGTAATACAGTAACTATAATTAATAAGAATGGTACAACTATTAACTTCTTTTAAGTATACTCAACTCAGAACAATATTGCCAGGGGCTGGGCATGGTGGCTCATGCCTGTAATGCCAGCACTTTGGGAGGCTGAGGCAGGCGAATCACCTGAGGTCAAGAGTTCAAGACCAGCCTGGCCAACATAGAGAAACCCTGTCTCTACTAAAACAAAACACACACAAAAAATTAGCTGGGCATGGTGGTACATGCCTGTAAATCCCAGCTACTCAGGTGGCTGAGGTAGGAGAATCACTTGAACTCAGGAGGTGGAGGCTGCAGTGAACTGAGATTGCGCCACTGAACTCTAGCCTGGGCAACAGAGCCAGACTCCATCTCAGAACAAAACAAACAAACAAAGAACAATACTGCAGTGACAGGGTAGAGATGCTTACTATTTTGAGACTTTTGATAATAAAGTATTAGACACAAACTAGAAGGATCTAGGGGAAAGAGTTAAGTCAAGACAGTATCTCAGCACCTGATACCATCCTTAAATCCCTCCAGAAGGTAGATAAAATTTAGGATATACACTTGATATAGTCTAAATCTTAACTGCTTTCCACTAGTCCCAAACAGATAGGCCTGGCCTCATCTCAGCTATTGACACTAAACACATATATAGCTAGAAAGGAAAATGAGCCACATCATGAATGGCATATAATGTGTATTAGACTCTCTAGTGGGGGATCAGGCATACCAGATATACATAAATTACAGTCGAAACTCACATGGCTAAGCTTCTATATGAAAAAAGTCACTCTGAATCACACGGACTGTGATTACAGCCAGTAGTGAAAGATACATATATAGAGGGCTAACCAGAACCTAGCAGGGATTGTGTCACTCATCCTATCACATATATCCACAGCAGACATCACTATGAAACTGGGCTAAACCTCAAAGTCCTTGACACAGTGATTCAGGCACTTGATATCAATGACTGGAGTTGCAATGGGAGATGAAACCTGTTTGCTACCTTATGTAGTGTGTGTCATTACATCTGACACACACTTGGAGTGAAAACTAGTACCAATGACTGAGCAGTCTGTGTGGTTCTAATGCTTCAAAAACTTGCCTTTTCCAGGTGTATGACATACTGAAGCCAGTGCCACATTACCTTGGACTAGGTATATCCCAAGGTCTCTCAGTGCAATGGGGAGAGCTCACCGCCATATAATTAATTCTCTCTAAATGCAGCTTTCTATTGGAACGGTCTTCTGTGTAAAAGACTGTAGTTTACGCCCTTATGTGGTCCAAGCACCAAAATCAATGATCTGTAAATGTTTGTTCAAACAATAATAAGCTAAGGAAGGGCCTTCTGCGGGACACACCTGCACCAGAACACCAGCTGGAAGAGTTGATCTCGCCCAACTCCTTCTGACAACTAAGTAACAGGTAAGTAAACAAAAAGTTTGGGAAAGCGGCTGGCTGCAGGTCGCAGTGGCAAAGCCAAAGGAGAACTCCCCCAGACCAGCCCTACGCGTCCGCATCACCGCGGTCAGCAGACTAAGTGTGCGCCACGCGACGCAGCAGTGGGCTCCGTGCACATCTCGCACACAGCACACTCGAAAACCAAAATGAACACTGCAAGGTACGTTTTCAGGAATTACATGGCTCCCTTCCAAGGAGACCCCATGTCATTTCAAAGGCTCACGGCCAACAAAAACACGCACGAACAGATCTCACTGCAGACCCAGAAGAAAAGCTCCCAACCCGCTCCTCAGGCTCTGCCCAGCCTTGTGGCCTCCCCTCACCCGCCGCCACCATCCGGGGAGCCAAAGCGGAGCTCCTGTCTCCCGCGGCCGGGGATGCGGGCTGGGGGCTCCCCGATCACCTCGCTGCCGGCAGTGCTCCACCTGACAGTGCTGCCCAACATCCAACTCCGCCATCTCTCCCGCGCCACAAGAGGCGGGGCACAGCCTGAGGGGCGAGGCAATGAGCGCGCGCGGCGCCTGCCGGGAGAGTGGCGGACCCAGGGGCGGAGTCACAGTGGGGGCGGGACCCGGAAGTTAGCTGTTCCCTGTGTCCTAGGTGCGATCGCCGTGACCGGGAAGAGCAGCTTTTCAGTGAGTGTTTTAGTCGGAGCCGAAGGCCTCCAGCCTAGTCCTTAAAGAATTACAGCTCTTGAAGAATTTGTCTAGCAGGCTTTCTGGTTTTTGCCGGAAAGCCCCTACCCCCCCAAAAAAATAATACCTGCGGCCGGGCGCTGTTGCTCACGCCTATAATGCCCCGTAATGCCCTTTGGTAGGTCGAGGCGGGCGGATCACCTGAGGTCAGTAGTCCCGACAGCAGCCTGACCAACATGGAGAAACCCTGTCTCTACTAAAAATATAAAATTAGTCGGTCTTGGTGGCGCATGCCTGTCCTGTGATCCGAGCTACTCGGGCGGCTGAGGCAGGAGAATCGCTTGAACCCGGGAGGCGGAGGTTATGGTGAACCGAGATCGCACCATTTCACTCTAGCTTGGGCAACAACAGTGAAACTCCGTCTCAAAAAAAAAAAAAAGAAAGAAAAAAGAAATACTCACCTGCCATTCTGAAATATTGCGTACCGCAGTTTCCTGCGTGCGGCCACGAAAATCCGCAGCGGGTTTACAGGAATTGTCTATTTTTTTAAAAAAATAATATAACTCCAGAAACCAGCACAGTGCCTGGCACACGGTGTTGCAATAATCAAGCAAAAGAGACAGACATGGGTTATCCAAGTCCTGAGCCGTCCCTCAACCAGTTTTACTTGATTATATAGTGTAACATACATGCCCCTTGCAAAACAGTAATTAGGTTTTTTTTAAAAGTAAATATTTCTTTATCTTGTTACCTTTTTCTTTCTTTAAAATTCTGGTAGGGAGAAAAAAAAAAGTCTTTTTTTTTTTTTTTAAAGCCTTACCTACTGAGCCCTTGAATGTGTACTGAACCTTACAGAGTTCCTCAGAGAACCCAGATTCATTTAACATAACTACCTGAAGAAAGCTTATGGCATTCCACTGGGATGTAAGGGAGTATCAGGTGCCTGGTGAGCCACTGCAGAGGTACTGAAGGAAGGCTCTTCTGGGTGAGGTACACATGAATGCCATTCCACCAATGTGATGCCAGGCACCATTCAGAGTGAATGGGTGACAATCACCTGCACTCATGACAGGAACTAGAGAAGTATTCTATGCCTCCTATATACTTTTGGGAATCCCAATCAGTAATCATTGAGGAAGGGGGAAGGGTGACACTGGGAAAGAGGAATTATTACTTCAGCATTTGCTCTTGAGTCTATTTAAGATTTCCATCTCAGAATTGCTTGGGTCTCTGGAGACTTTAGATTTTAAAGCTGGAAGCAACCTATGCTGTCATCTGACAATCCCAGACTCCATAGCTTTTCTTTTATTAAGAGGAGAAAAACAGTTTGTAGACGTTAAATGATTGGCTCAAATTAGTGGATGAACCAGGACAAAAAAATGCAAGTACTAAAGACTTCTGGTGTTCTTGGATCTAGGGACCAATGGCTTACCTAGGTTTTACGTTTATTTAAGTTGATCAGGTCATTCGATAACAGACTTTCTAGAATTTTACTAGGTGTTTGGAATGCTCTAGATAGGTGGCAAATATATGTTTTATCAGTCCAATCATTATGGATCTATGTTTACTTTTTCAGTTCTTGTACACTTCATGGAACATCTGATGATTTAGAGTAGTCAAGACTGCAGTTGCTACCTCTGCTATCTCTGTTTAGTCTCCTTAGCTGATTTCTTCTCTAGGTGCTACTTAAACATATTTATTTCACTCTGTTTATGTCTTTGGTCCACTTACCAATTTACATCCTCATACAAGTGAAATTCCCATAGCTTCTATATTAAAGACTCTCATAACTCATGTTCTCAGCCCTGAGAACATTTGACCAAACATGAGGTAGCTATTTCCAACTGTCTGATTGATCTATCTATGTACAGTCATTTGTCATGGTGTATTAAGTCCAAAATGGGATCCCTTGGTAGCAAAGGCAGCCTACCACATACTTGTTTCATTCAACCAATCTTAGATTCATCCTCCACCTCTCCTTTTTTACTTCTTGTGGAAGTGGCCATTAAACACTATCAATTCTCCCTCAGAAATGTCACTTAGGCCTGGCCTGGTGGCTCATGCCTGTAATCCCAGCACTTTGGGAGGCCAAGGTGGGCGGATCACCTGAGGTCGGGAGTTTGAGACCAGCCTGACCAACATGGAGAAACCCCATCTCTACTTAGAATACAAAATTAGCTGGGCATGGTGGTGCATGGCTGTAATCCCAGCTACTGGGGAGGCTGAGGCAGGAGAATCGCTTGAACCCAGGAGGCAGAGGTTGCAGTGAGCTGAGATGGTGCCATTATACTTCAGCGTGGGCAACAAGAGTGAAACTCCATCTCAAAAAGAAAAAAAAATGTCTCTTAAACCTGAACTCTTTGATTTCTCTGGTTATTTTTTCCCTCAAAACAGTATCTTGCCTAAGATATTCCATTGGTTCCCCATTATTCACAAGATTACTTTGCTTGCCTAATAAGCCTTTCCACGATCTGACCTCAATCCCTCTCCAGCCTCAGCAATAATCACTTCCCCACAGACTCCCTGCTCTCCAACCATTTCCTGAATATGCCTTTTAGTTCTGTAATGTATTCATACTTTTGCACATGCCTTTCATTTCCGCTAGAATGTTCTCTATACTAGGGTTTCTCAAATGTTCTTGAAAATAAGAATCAGGCAGTGTGCTTGTTAATAAATACAGCTGCCCCAGGAATCCAAGTTCACCAAGTCCACTGATGTTTTTGACCACAGTGGGACACTGATCATGCATACATATGAACCTGAAATATCCAGGCTCCATGACAATTTCACCATAGAAAGAAAAATAAAATAGCCAATTTTTTTGTTTGTTTATTTTTTGAGAGGGAGTCTGGCTCCATCACCAGGCTGGAGTGCAGTGGGTGATCTCGGCTCACTGCAACCTCCACCTCCTGGGTTCAAGTGATTCTCCTGCCTCAGCCTCCCGAGTAACTGGGACTACAGGCGCATACCACCATGCCCAGTATAATTTTTTATACTTTTAGTAGAGATGGGGTTTCATGGTGTTGGCCAGGATGGTCTTAGTCTCCTGACCTTGTGACCTGCCCACCTCAGCCTCCCAAAGTGCTGGGATTACAGGTGTGGGTCACTGCACCCGGCCTACATACTTTTCTTACGATCACTAACCAGAGCCTATTATAATTTACTTGATCCTCCCCTTATCCCCCAGCTTATCCCCCACCAATTTTTTTTCAGTGGCTTCTATTAGCTACAAAATAAAATCTGCACTCAAGTCAATTCAGCAAATGTTTTGGGCATCTACTCCATATCAGATGCTATGTTATGTCTGATACAGAATTGAATAAGATAGGTTCTCTGACCTCAAGGAGCTCACATAGTCTAGGAAGAATTGTCTCTGCTTGGCATTTAAAGTCTCAAACCTTGGCCTGACCTTTCACTCACTGTCTCTCAAATGCTTCTTCACACTCTGTGTTCCTCATAGCCGTAGGCTCTTTGCACAAGCTATTTCTTCTACCTGGAATGCTCTTCCCTCCCCTATTTCAACTAGTTTCCTGTTAGCTTTTCATCTATCTGTTACCTCAGGTATCCTTTCCTTAAAAATTATTTTGTTCTCTCTGACTAGAACAAATCCTGCTGTTATTACATTCATTTTGTATCTTCTTCAAAGCATTTGTCAAAGACTCAATTTTGCATGTTTATGTGGTTATTTGATTAATATTTGTTTCCCCGCCTAAGCTGTAATCTCCACAAAGACAAGAAAGCGTGTCTGTTTTTTGCTGTCCATTATTATAATTGACCTGAGGCTACTTTTCAGATGTTAAATATTTATGGAAAAAATAAGTGAAAAAAATATTCTTAAAAAAAATTTTTTTTATTATACTTTTAAGTTATATGGTAACTATGCAGAACGTGCAGGATAGTTACATAGGTATACTCATGCCGTGGTGGTTTGCTGCATCCATACCCACCCCTGTCATCTATATTAGGTATTTCTCCTAATGTTATTCCTCTCCAGTTCCCCCACCCCCTGCTCTCTTTCCCCTGGCTTCCTACTCCCCAACAGGCCCTGGTTTGTGATGCTACCCTTCCTGTTTCCATGTGTTCTCGTTGTTCATATTATTAATTATCTTATGCACTGGCCAACTGTAATTACTATAGATTTCATATACATGTCCCTGTCTGACTTTCCTCTGTGTCTTTGAGCTTGTCTTTCTGCCATGGAATATCTTTTTTTTTTTTTTTTTTTTTTGAGACAGAGTTTCGCTCCTGTTACCCAGGCTGGAGTGCAATGGCGCGATCTCGGCTCACCGCAACCTCCGCCTCCTGGGTTCAGGCAATTCTCCTGCCTCAGCCTCCTGAGTAGCTGGGATTACAGGCACGCGCCACCTTGCCCAGCTGATTTTTTGTATTTTTAGTAGAGACGGGGTTTCACCATGTTGACCAGGATGGTCTCGATCTCTTGACCTTGTGATCCACCCGCCTCGGCCTCCCAAAGTGCTGGGATTACAGGCTTAAGCCACCGCGCCCGGCCCGGAATGTCTTTTTTTCTATCTATACAAACCAAATTCCGACCCGTCCTTGAGGGTAAAATTTAAATTTCATCTCCTCTCCAAGGCTTTCCTTCATTCCTCTCAGTATGAAGTAGTCACTCCTTCTTTTGGACTCCTATTATATTTTTTTCTGTACCTTTCTATTAGTTATTACAAACTTCATTATAATTATTCTTATGCATATCTTCTCCCTCACTAGGCTATAACCTCTTTGATGGTTGAATTGACATTTTGTTCATTACTGTAAGCCTTTCAATCTACCATGATGCCATTAGACCTCATAATAAACATTTGATGTAAATCTGTGAAATAATAAACTGAAATTTAGATTTTTGCTTTAT